ATTAGTTTTGAGTTCCACATATAGGTAAGTATTTCTATGACGTTTTATATATACTCCCTTTATGTTGTCAAAAATATAACTGGGTCTTTTGTTCTCAGATTTTCTATTATTTATTTTCATTTTTCAAACAGTTCAAATTCTGTTCATTATCCTGTGCTTATCAGACATAGATACAATGTTAATGTAAACCTTATTGTTTCCTGAGGGGCAATTTATTGTGCAGAAAACAGTTACACACAAAACATTTCAAATTGTATTGTGGACCTGGAATTGACCAGACTGTTTTAAAACATCGTATTTTATATCTCCATTATGATGCTGAAAGAGATTTCAACACACAGAGGATGGCTAGGATTAGTCCAATGATCCTAATCTAAGGACCGGGAAGCATGAAGATCATTTAGGTCTCTAAGAGATATCCCTCCAAACAATAAAAGCAAAGTTTAGAAAGGATTCAATAAAACAAAAACAAAAAAAATACTTCTGAAATAAATAAAGTACAAAACTTATGACAAAAAATGTTTTCTTAACCACGCTATCTAAGGTTTTCATCAGTGTCTGCTCCCAGGTATATCTACTGCGAAACTAGCTGCACTATTCAGCCATTGGTCACCACTGGAGAGATCAAATTTTTTCAAATTTTATGCAGATTTCTTCTGTTTTATTCACATTAATTATTTAAAAAGTTTTCTCACACCATTTTAAAAATGCACTTTGTATCATTTAAAAAAACGGCAATGCATTCCGTTATTGCTAAGAAACTCAACAAAATATAAGATGAATAATAAGAGACTAAGACAGAAATATAACTTTTTATTTATTAATGAAACTTTACACCTCCATATCACTGAGGTTATTATTTGGCAGAAATATCAGCTTTCTCCTTAGTTATGGTCACATTTATTAACATCTCCTTGATCTCGGTGTCAAACATCACAGTATCATCTTCACTCTACCTGGGTGACTTTCTCTCATCAGGAGGCGCTTGTTGCTCCGTATCTATCGAGGAAATCAAATCCCACCATGACGCTCCGCATTTAGCAGCGGCTGTCAAGACATATGTGAAAGCCTGCCAATGGAGCCCTACCAGGTTCCTGAGCTATGACGTCCCGTTACCATAGAAACGCTGATATGTTGAATGTGTAACGCAAAAACAAGTCCAGCTTAAAACACAGGATTATTGTTTTGGTTCCATTTGCAGCAAAAAAAAAAGAATAAAAATAAATGGATAAAAAAATACAGGGATTATTTTTAATTTTTGTAGTATTTCAACAGAATGTTTATAAAATTTAGAACCAAACAATAAAGAGATAATAACTACCACCTCATTAAAAATGTGTCTCCTGGCCAAATGTTGCTAGTTTAGCCAGCAGACACAAACCTTACTTGCTTATTTTTTCCCCTCCATTTCTCCTGTCACCTTGAAATTAGACTTTTTTTTTTTTTGTGCAGCATCCATCTGTGACTAATTGTGCACTGGCTTCTGCAGGTTCCTTTTTTTTAAGCTGTCCTTGCAGCGTTGTTAGGGAAATGAGTCACAGTTACCAAGGAAGTGAAATGCTGTGCGGTCAAGTGCATGCTGCAGGGCACATTTTCTCTTTGCTTGAGAACCCTTAAAACCAGGCAGTTGTTTTGACTTCTCAGAGCTGCAGAAAATTGTTTAGACTTGTAAATGACGGAAGTAGGGAGAAAGTAAAATGAGCCCAGAAAAGTCCTTCACTTACTGTCTCCTTTTTGTTGCATTTCTAGGTTTCAAGCTGACAATCCTACAGATATTTATCACTGTTTTGTTGAAGTTCTCATCCTGCAGGTTTTAAGTGATGTTGAACCCCAACAATTGAAACCTGTGCCAAATATGCTTCTCTGTGAAAGTTGGCGGGCTGAATAAGCTCTCTCTGTCGCTATTTCAGGTGATGCTTATGTTTTGCAAGGGAATGCATGGATGTGAATGCATTAGGAGCAAAGAGCAGCAAGGTAGTCTAGTTGTATTTTCAGAATGTGCAAAGCTGATATGCAACTGGAGATGCAGGGATATGTAAAATCAAGCAGGGTTAACTTATAGGATGTCAGAAAACTGACCACCACAGTAAGCTCACTTCCTTGTTGCAAATCTTAAGATAGCTTAGTAGGGTTGGTTTTGCAAAACCAACCTCTTGTAACTCAAAACTAGTTTCAGATTCAATCTAAATACTGATAAGAATTTCCTCTATTTCTTATTTGAATTTGTAACCGAAATAGATAATGATAATTAACAAACATATTTTTCATTTACAATATATTAGGTATACTTGTTAAGTTGCTGTTGACACTAGAAGCTAATCTCTTCAATCACATTGCAGCAATTCAATGCATTTTGGTGCCTAGACACAATGAAGATGTTTAAATTGATCATCATTACTCTTCTTAACTCATTTTATCTTAGCGTTTCAAAACTTGACAACAACCGAAAAAATCTCCTGATCTAATGAGTCTTTATTTTAGCTGCAACATTCAGGTGTTGGGTGAAGGTATGGATCCATTCTGGATTATATCAGTGATCTGGATGCTGCTGCTGTTCCTGTAATCGTGTGGGAGAGGCTTTTTTTGGCAGACTTCAGGCCTCTTTGTCCCAGCTGAGCATGATTTCAACACCTCAGCCTACATATGCAGTGTTGCTGACTGTGTCTATGCCTTTGTTTTAATAGTGTACTTATCCTCTGATGGTTTCTTCCGGGATGATAATGAGCCATGCAACAAAGCTCAAACCATCTCCTGCTGGTTTCTCCAGCATGGTAATGAGTTTATTCTACTTAAATGGCTCCAAAATCACCAGATCTCAATCCATTAGGGCACCCTTGAGATTTGATGAAACAGGAGGTTTGCTTCATAGAGCCAACAAGTTTCCTGTGACTGTGTGATGCTGTAACTCCTTCACCTGCTCCCCATACAGAGAAACTGTCAAAATAAGTCTGAAAAACAGAAGACATTGTAGATGTTGAGGACCTAAAAAAAAGCTGCACTCTTAAGATTTAGATTAGAAGCTTTTTCACAGTTTTTCATTGTCTCTTTATTAAAGTAATAAATGATCATATTGGTTTAAATATTTCAGTTTAATTCAGTTTATTTATATAGTGCCAATTTTACAGTAAAATTCAGTCAGATTATACAGTTAGGTTAAAAGTTTTCTATGTAAGGAAAACCCGCTGATTGCATCAAGACATTGACTTTGAAGGATAACCTCTTCTTGGATGAGCATATAGACGAAGTAGACATCCGTTTGTATTGGGTCATTGACTCTACAGCTCCGTGCATGCATAAGGCGAGAGTGGGAAAGAAAAACTTCCTTTTAACTGGAAGAAACCTCCAGCAGAACTAACTGACTTGCCTTCTGCTGGGCTAACTATGGGCTGAAGGAGACACAAGCAGACATACAGAAGGAACATAGACGCATGGATCTATAAATTATTTCAATGTTAGAAACGGTAAACTAACTCTAAAGGTGGCTCTGTGTAAAAAAAAAACTGTGAAGCCCACAGCTATGTCTAGGAAGTAACAGGACTAAGCACTAAAAAACAGGACCAACTGTATTATCCATAGTTTAAGGTGTTGAAGGCAAGTCCCAGCTGATATTTCTCTCCAGGTTACTGCCACAGCCAGACAGAACCAAACCAGATAAAGCTTCTGTGATGAGAAAAACCAGATAGAACATAAAGTTAGAGTTTGAACTAATAGATAATGCAGAATGGGAGAATAGAGATCAAATGAAGTAGAACAATAAAAAGTGGTCCCTATGTTTTCCAGTAGCCTAAGCCTATAGCATCATAACTAATAAATAGAGATAGCTCAGTATTATTGATTATTTCTATTTTTTAAATCCTTAACAGTCTGACATGCATGTAGTGCAGCCAGCGGCTTACAGAAGCGATTACAAAGTAAGTCGGAGCATGATCCTGACTAAGTGGCTGTTAAGCCATAATATATCCCAGTTTTTACTTTACCAAAAACTTATCAAACTTCAATTTTGTGGCACAAAAATTTAACTGTTTGGACTTAAGCAACACATTAAAAACACTATGATGATATACAGTGACAACAGGATTATGACATTCAGATTTAAAGGGAAGGAGAACAGAGCTAACAACAGATGAACCAGTGGGAAACCTGTAGTAGGTCATAAAGTAGTTAAGATAGTGTACCAATGCAATCTTTCAGATCAAATTCATGTTTCAGTCAAAGTCCAGACCTCAATTTGTGAGAAGACGTAGAACTAGTGTTTGGTAGATTCTCCATGCAATCTGGCTGAGCTTGGGCTTTTTTGTGAGGTGCATATGATGTGAAAAGCTGGTAGAGGTGTTTCTCCAAAGTCTTGTAAATGTGATTGCATTGGGAGGAGTTTGAACAGAGTGTTGGATCCAATTGGAGGAATACAAATACACACAAAGATTAAAATTGTGTGTGCTTTTTCCTTCCACAGTTAAGGTGGAAGGAAAAAAGGTGATAAAATGTGAAAAACTTTAAGGGTCGTGAATAGTTTTGATAACATTGCCTTAACTCTGTGAGCTTCACTTTTTGATTCTCTTTTTGAGACTTTCATGACTTCTATACTTTCTAACAGTTGCTTAAAAGTGTCTGTGATCAACCCGGTCAGACAGTGACTCATTTATGGGAAGGGCAGCAGCGAAACTCAAGTCTTTTCAAGCAATTTCCTTTGTGTGAGCCTGCAGACAGATGCTCAGTAGGAGTAACCCTGCTTTCACACATCTTTGCCAAAAAACCTCTCCTTCCCACTCAGCCACAGAAATCCCAGAAAAGGTAGTGGTGTGTTAAAATATTCCTGCGTTGCTCCTCAACGGCAACGCTTTCATTCACATTCTTTGGCTCACGGTGGCAAAACATAGGGGATGGCTTTTTCAACACGTGCAACTTTTGCCCTGCCTCACACAAAGCTCCCTTTGAGATGCCATAACTGGCAGAGCCGATAGAAAGCCCATCGCCGGGTGCATTTCAGGAGCTCAGCTGAACACGAATCAGGCAGCATCTGCATTAAACAAGGAGATGAGATGCGATGTTTTAAGTGGCCTGTTAAAGACTCTCGAGGGAAGAAAAGAATGCTATTAGTTAAATTCTCAGCTACCATCCACTGGAGTCATCCATGGCTCTTAGGAGCCATTTGAGGTAATGTGATCCCTCTGCACTCTCTCTGCGTCATGCCGACCGTCCGTCTTCTCTGTTCCTGCAGATTTCTAATTGAAGGCTTGGAGTGTGGCCTGCCGCGCAGAGCTTCTAGCACACGGAGTCAGACTTTTTCTTTCCTTTTAATGATTTTTATTTGCAGAACTTTACATCCAAGAAATCTTCAACCAAGCAGTATAAAGCATTTTCTCTCTGCACGTGTTCATCACATAGCCATCTATTGGTACTGGTTGAACAGGAAAAGTAATGTCCTATGGGTCTACAGAAGTGATATGAACTAACATGTCTTTTGGGTTGGAGCAAATTTTCCTGTGATGACTGAGGAGCACACCTCAGGGTTTAGTGGGGTGGGGTTTGGTGTTTTTTTTTTTGTGTGTTGTTAAGAAAGAAAAACTTTAAACTGCTATCAGCTTTTTACTTTACCACCAGTAAAGTAACAAGCTGAGTTTTACATTCAGAGTCTCTGTTTTAGTCATTAACAAATGTAGTTTTCAGTTATAATGGATAATTCTTCTACAGATATACAGATGCATCAGCCAGCTGATGTTTAGAGCAAATATTTCTCTTTTTTCATATGCATGAGGGCTAGAGTTCAACCAATACAGATGTTTTTAAGGCCTGCTGCTCAGACAGCAAAACCCATGATTATTTAGAGATGCAATCATTGAACGTAATACCATTTTGTGTATGATTCTGCTGAAGGAATAGAATAACACTAGTTAAAATGTCAAGAAAGTGATTTTGCGTGATATAACAATGAATACTAAATTTGATAATGCAGTACTGGAAGTATTTCAGTTGATCACAAAGCATCATTGATTATTGCACTAATTAATAAGCTAATGTATGCAGTTATAAGAAAAAGGCAGTAATATACGCAAAGAATATTATATAGCCGATGTATCTCTAAAGGGGGGTAAATTAATTAGCATATTTAGCAGCCATGCCTTCAGGTAACTTGAAGTACACTGTTTTTGCTATCTGTTGTTAATGTGTTGTTTGATTTTATTAATAAATGTTTCTCATCTGTTTAAATTCCGACTTTTATCCTTTTATCCTGTAAACAGAAGAAGAGATAGCAAAAATCAGCCTAATAAAGTTTGTAGCACATATGGGTAATCGTTTAGTCTGGTGTCAGTATAATCAGTAATGCCATTAGACTTAAAAAAAAATGTGCCACTCCATCTTTAAATTCTAACTATAAGCCTTGTATGGGTAATGTAAGACTTTTCAAGTGATTCTTCCCCCAAGAATTAACATAATCTACAACTAATTTTGAGCTTTGATTTCAATTAAAAATCATATTGAAAACTCCTTTCATTAAGACTTAAACATTTTTTCAATAGGAGTAGAAAAAGTAAGGCTATTTAAAGGGGAACACTGTTTTTTTTTTTACATTGGCCCCTTGATTTTATTTTATATTAGTTTTGTGTCATTTGGAGCCGTTCTGAAGATATTCCGTTAGGTTATATCCAAGTAACGTCTTCCTATAGGCAACGACTTGAAGGCACAAACTAAACTGTTCATAATTTATCATTTATGGTACGCCAGCATTAATAACATGTAGGCGAATCACTGTCCCCCAGACATACGCGGTTATATTTTTTATATTTATGTTTATTAAAAACAAAGCGGAGTGTGTAGAACATGATGTAATAACGTAAAATCAAGGGGCCAATGTAAAAAAAAAAAAAAAAACGGTGTTCCCCTTTAAATGATGAGATCAGTCAAGTCAACAACATGCTGAAACGAAGCCACCAGGAGGTCTTGCTTTTGGTAGGAGGGAAAGTTAGAGGCTCGTAGCTTAATGCGTGCAATATTGTAGTTCAACCTTTCTATATGGGTTGTGGTAAACTTTAAAAAGCCAGTTTTTAGATTTTTATCAATATTTTTATTCCTCTTTAAAAAAAAGTGCAAATTTGTTGATTGAACAACCACTTTTTGTGCCATCAAAAACCTCAGCTGCAGATTTCTGATACATCTGAGTAACCATGGGTCTCATGTCAGTACTCTGTACTTCTCAGTACTTCCTTTGGTCTTCATGACGAACAAGCCTCTAAAGACTTTACAAAACAGAATTCTATTAAAAACATGCATTCCACACTTTTCAGATTTTTCTTCTTTAAAAAGTTAAACTATTTTTTATTTGTCTTCTAGAAGTCCCATCAAAATAAAGTAAATAATATTACTGATACAGAATGTGAAAAGTTCAGGGATTATAATAAAAAAAAAAACATGCTGTTGTACGTCTCTATCATGTATTTTGTTTGTTTTTGTTCCTTTTATTGTCTCGTATTGTCAAATACACTTGATAATATGGGGACCATTATGTTCCTGGCTGTCAAAAATCTGTTGCCCTTTCTAGGTATCTAATTGTTAAACTATATTCTTTCCATCTTTTTTGACGGGAGTCTACAAATGCAATGCACACTATGAATTGTAAAAACATGTCATATTTATTAAGAGAGAAGATTGTGCAGATCATGCACCATACGGCCCTGTGAGCGGCCAGATCTTGATAGTAGTCTGGAAGTTTACCATCATCACACCTACCTGAAACTGTCGTCTATTTCTTTTGCAGCTGCGCTGCGTGAGATCTGCCTTTGCCTTGTGTGTAGCGGAGTAATCAGTCCTTTCGCTGTACTGGTTTCAGATGTTGAGGTTTTTCTCTGAGTGGTATAGTGGTATTGAGTTGGCTGGTCTTCTAGGGAATAATTATGGTTTTCTTTTGGACGGTGGTGAAAAACGGGGCCCTTTTGTTTCAGTGTTATGGGAAAGAGTACGGTTCATTTTGAAACCTGAAACAGGGATGTGGCTGGTGACATCAGCTGGAAACAATGATCCATCTTGCTTAAACAGATTGTTCCATTCTTTATTTCAGGCAGGCATGCATTTGTGTTAAGCCTACAGCTACACTATATAGCAAAATCTTAGGATTGAGATAAGGCGCTAAATCTTGCAATAGCAATAACAATTATTATCTCAATGGGCATTGGTTGATTTTAGGGCTGAAACAATTTATTGGATTAATCGTGATTTGTGAATTGATTATTGAAGTAAAAATAAACTTATTTAGTAATCAATTAATCATGAACTCGAGTAGAGACTGTGAAACGTGCCTTTAGCTGACAGAAATTGCAAATTGCAAAAACAAATATAAGCATTTTGCATTTAAGATTAATAAAAAAAAAAGTGTTTGTCAATATGCTCTGTACAGAACTCCTCAAGTGGAAAAGATTTAGTCTCACCGGGTTTCATGTCTTAAAAATCCTCTTTAAGGAAGTTTTGCATATCAGATTATTAATCCATAAATCAAAAAAATAATCGACTGATTAAATGATTTGCAAAATAATCATTAGTTGCAGCCCTACTTGATTTAGCATCTAAGGATGAAAAGATCCACTTGTTCCATTTGGGTTAGTTTGGCACTCTTAGTAAAGTCAGAAAAAGGGAAGAGGCCCAAAATAACTCTGGAGGAGATGCAGAGATCCAGAGCTCAGGTGGTAGAATCGTTTGACAGGACAGCTATTAGTTATGCAAGCCATAATTCTAGTCAACATAATTAGAAGACTGAAAAAAGCTAAAATTGGGGAAATATGATCTCTATTTAATTTGATCAGTACTGTGGATTGAAGGAAATTAAGTGTATTTTGTGGATGACAATAGTAGTGGATAGGGATGTCCCGATCAGCATTTTAGGCCTCCGATCACGATCCGATCTTTTAACCTCAAATCCAATTTGATTATGAGTCCCAATCAGATATTCTGCCTTTACTATTGAAATTTATAAGAATCAAATATATTTTAAACAAGTAACTCAACTTTTTATAAAACTATTAATTCATCAATAAGCTTTGCTATTATTTTAAATCCCATGAAATCAAAATCTTACTCAGAATTAAAGGTCAGCTTCAATTTATTATTTAAACAAAAGTAAAAAGAAAAACACTGACTTGGTACGGTATTATCAAAAAGAAAGTGCTATTCAAGATCCACTTTTAGCTTATAGTGCTTAACTACGGAGCCCCTCTGATGACATGGTCAAAAAAATTTTTTTACTGTGGCCACGAAGTAGTATTTCGTGCGCACAAAGTAGTATTTCGTGGCCACGCAATAAGTTTAACGTGCGCACGAAATACTACTTTGTGGCCACAATTAAACATTTTTTTTTGACCATGTCATAAGAGGGGCTCCGTACTTAACATAAAAAAAATCAGTAAACAATAAAGTGCACTGACCACTGAGAAAATTTCACATAGCCGAGCTCCAATCACGGGAAATTCTGAAAAGATCGGGCCGATCCAATCTCAAGATCAGGATGGAGACATCCCTAGTAGAAGACAAAGTAACAAATTTAATGTCGTCCCGAAATTAGAATCCCTACTGTACCTTTTTCTTGTCTTAACATGCTTTCTGTTATCATGCATATCATATCATGCGTGTTATTATTTGGAGCAGTGGCTTATCTTTAGCTGAGAGAAAGCGGCAGGATAAGCTAATCAGGAAGGCCAGCGCTGTGATTGGATCCCCTCTGGACTGGGAAATTAAAGGGGGTCCTAACTAAATTAACATCTCTGTTGGATAATATTTCCCACCCCATGCATGAAGCTTTTGCAGAACTAGAGAGCTCCTTCAGTGACAGACTGCTGCACTCTAAATGCACCAGGGAGCGTTATCACAGATCCTTCCTCCCAGCAGCTGGAAGACTTTATAACCTTCTCTGTTCCCAACAACCTCAATAAGTTGTTGAATTCATGCTTATTTTGTGCAGTTTCTACCCTAGTCAGTTAAATAACATGCTGCTGTCATTTTGCACATCTCTGATGTTGCTGATATTTTCAAATATGCATTATGGTACAATTACCATAGGTGTATATTGCTTATTTATTCTCCAGGTGCACAGTTTTATAATGTTAAAACACTTTACAGTACAGGATCTCATTGATTATCTTTTAACTGTTCACAATTATGTTATTCTTAAA